TCAACTAATATTCATGGTAAAGTCCTATTTCAAGGAAATTTTCTCATAAAATGTGTTTTGGAGACTCAATCCACTCAGAATATTTCATTATTTGTAATATTTCACTTAAATAGCAAGAAATCTTAACACATGAGAGTACTCACAAGGTCAAAGGTGCATGTACAGCTTCCCATATTAGGTGTAATACCACCATTGATTTCCCCCTATTAGTCTTTGTTAAATTTACACTTTTCAAAAAATTGTGCCGAATTTATCTTTGTTTCAAATAAAGAAATACTTGGCATGAGTAAAGTTTTATCCTGTCCAGTACTATAGAAAAAATTCACATAACATTTCATTGCATATAAGAAAATAACCATCACTGGAAGTTAACCAATCAAATTTCCCCCTTTTTTAACCTGTGTACAAACTTTAGTAACCATGTAACCCCAAGTTTCCAAAATATTCTATAGAAACACCAAATAAAAAAATAATGGTGCTTTGAAATACCCAAGATATATGTTTATGACCCAGAACTGTTTTACTGCAATGAAAGAGGGACGAAAGATACCAAAGGGACAGTCAAACTCATAGATCGAAAACAAACTGACAACGCCATGGCCAAAAATAAAAAAAGACAGACAAATAATAGTACAGATGACACAACATAGAACACCAAAGACTAAGCAACACGAACCCCACCAAAAACTGGGGGTGATCTCAGGTGCTCCGGAATGGTAAGCAGATCCTGCTCCAAATGTGGCACCCGTCGTGTTGCTTATGTTATTACCAATCCGGTAAATAGTCTAATTCGTTAAGTCATATTCGTGAAAAGGGAGGGTATTGTAGTTGCGACATAAGAAACATATCCGATATCATCTGTGAAACGGTTATTCCATAACGGTCAACCAACTTGTGATGGCTTTCGTAAAATTTACGAAGGGATGACTTCAACTTCATCATTTGGAACTCTTGGTTTAATAGCTTCCTTGTGAGCAGCAATCCTCTATCAAGGAAATCATGATAGGAAACACAAGCCCGGGAATATCGTATCAATTGGGAGATAATAATACTCCGTATGCAGGCGCTGCTGGAATGTTGCTACATAGAAATGGAAAGTTCACAATTGGGAAGCTGAAATCATCTCTTTTGTCGTAAAGTTTTGTTTTCAACCGACCCTCATTGTCAATTTCTAGGTGTAAGTCAAGATATGAGGCAGACTTAACTGTATCTGTAGTATCCTTTATCTCTAGTTCGATGGGATAGATTCGTTCAACATAGTCACCAAATTTTGTATTATTTAGTGAGAGAACATCATCTATATAGCGGAACGTAGAGTTAAATGATATTGGTAACTTCTTATCTTTCTTCCTAAGAAGTTCCTATATAAAGTCAGCCTCATAATAATAAAGAAACAATTCGGCAAGAAGAGGGGCACAATTGGTTCCCATTGGAATTCCGACAGTCTGTTGAAAAACACGTCCTCCAAACGTAACAAATATGTTGTCAATCAAGAAATCAAGCATCTTGATAATGTCAGTTTCAGAGAATTTTTTGTTTGAATCAGAGTGATTCTTTACAAAATAGGATTTATCCCTCCCCAAGACAAGATACTTGTATATACGTTCGTCATTCTTTTTAATGAAACAAAGTAATACCAACTCTTTCAATTTGTCTTTAGTTTGGGATGGGGAATGCTTGTGTAAAGTGTAGAAAAGTCAAATGTTTTAATACTATTGCAAGATGAGAGAGTCTTAGATTGGATGTACTCTAAAAGATCTTTGGAATTTTTTAGTATCCACATCTGATTCACGCCACCTCTAGAATAGGCAGTTTCACAATAACTTTGGAGCCCGGCTTTGATTGCTGATAAAATAGATGTTAATAATTAAGAAAGAGGTTTCGTGGAGCACGTGGAAGACCTAGCAATATACCGTTCTTTGTAAGGACACTTATGTAGTTTAGGTATCCAATACAGTGATGGAAGATCCAGTTCTTCATCTTTGGTTAAAATTCCAAAGGAACATAGAACAGACCTATGATTATCCAAGATTTCCTCTTTGGTAAGTGTCGTGAGGGTATATGTTGAGTTTCCAAGTGAATTGTCAATACCTAATTCATTTATCAAGCAGTCTATGTAATGATATTTACAAACAAAAACGATGTTGTTTGGGGCTTTATCTGCGGGGACAACAACATAGTTGTCATGGAGGTAGGACAAGTGTTTTGCAACATTTGGGTCTTTAAAAATTGACGTAGCGTGGGTATTGATATGCCCATTTAGTTTCTTAATTCGGATTTGTATCAACGCCCTCACAGCCTTAATCCAAATGTAGGATCAATTACCTACAACTGTCAAATTCAAGGGAATATTTTTTTTCGACCTATTTTCGTATGCAACCGGATGTGACGTACTATGATTTGGTGGTATTACACCTAAGAGGAAAATAACGAAACAACAGAAACACTGAAGTGAACAATAAGCAAGCGACAATGCAACACACAGAGAAACGAACTCTAAGATAACAACTGCCACTTTCATGACTTGGTACAGGACATTTTAAGAAAAAACGTAGGGTTTAACCTGGTTTTGTGGCAATTTTTTCGTTATTTGTGGCATTTGTAAAAAAAAAACACACACAAGCTGAAAGTGCACTATAGGAAAGCTAAAATCCTTTTTTAGAATTGTTAAGTCATTGAACCATTAATCACTGTTCATCAGGCTTACAATAGCAACCAAAACTACAACCATAAGAAATTTAGTTTTGAGAGTTTAAATGAAGAGATTACAAAAAGAAGATGTGATAGCCTTTTCAATTACCCACTATATATCACAGAAAGAGGAATTAACTACCTAAAGATAACTATACGGCTTTCAACAACAATTATATATATATATTATGATTATATGATTGGAAATTAATTTGTCTGCAAGAAGATGCACAATTACTCGCACAATGAAGAAACAAAGTAGTTTTTATCAATTTTATTAAGCAAGATAGATATTGTTTTACCAATCTGAGAGAATTGTATGTAATTTGTAATTATCTATATTGTTCAATTTGCGAAAAAATGTTTTTACAATTATTTCTTAAAAAATAAACTACTTGCACTTGATTTGATGTTTGTCTTTTTCTATCTTTTAAATTACATTATTTTATATATTAACAATATGTAACGATTTTCAGGAACCTGTAAAGATAGTACATATTCAGATGTAATAAATGTAAAGCTGTGTTAAGAAATCTAAAGAAAGGACCTGTTGAATACGAAGAGTCAATTTCATGCCATTCACATTCATATCAATCTTTATCAAGTAAAGTAAATACTTTTGGAGAAATGGTTATCTTCTTCATCGAGTCTAATTATGATCACTGAAATGCATTCATAAGCATGTTTTTTTTTCAGTTATCTTTTGGGTTCTGATCATATGCACAGTAGATGCAAAAATATACCTGACTACTCATTGTGCATACGTATCTATTATTCTTATAAAATTTGAAGTCTGAAATATTCTTGCGCTTAATGTAGAATTGTTTTGTTTTTTTTTAATTTTAAATGATATATCAAACCCATTTTTTTTCTTATTATCATCTAATTGTATTCAACGTGTATTACTTTTGCCTTGACTATTGCTCAACTTATAAATCTACATCTTTTTTTTTTTAGTATGCAATGTGTATCGTATAAGTTTGTTCCGATTTATTCTCGTTTAAAAGAGATACACTAAACTTTAGTTCTTTGAGTGCACTAAATGTTTAACGCATTTCGTATATGTGATCCACATTTCATTTGTTGTCATTTTTGAAACTATATTTTACATTAGGATTCTATGGACTGAAGTTTGGCCCCTTGGCCACAAGTTGTTTCTAAAATCATCTTGAAGTAACACTTTTTGTCCTCGTCTTTTATTGGATGTTTCTGTTTTACAAAGGGATTTGTACATTGACATTTACGGCGTGTACATTTGGCAAATGTGTGTTGTATGCTCGCATCTGTTGTCCTTAATGTAGTTAAAGCCATGTCAATACTGCCGATCAGATCAACTCGGTGATCTCAGTGGACTAAACTTACACGACAAGGTGTTATTGAATTCTTGATCGGGCCTATTTACGATTTGTATCCGACCGCAATCTGACCGTACACGACTCCAATCTACCGTTCAAGATTCCTTACCGACTCCTTCTCGACTTCAACTCGAGTCCTTATTGAATATTGATTCCAACAACCCGACCAATCCACGATTTCTACACGATCTTGACTCACTTACTCGACTTGCTATACTAAATCAACTATACACGATTTCAACCCGGTATTTACCAGACCAGACTGACCTGATTATATAGATGTCGTAGGGATAGTATGGAATTGGTCGGAAATGTACAATTGAAGTATAAAAACGTCTACGATTTTAGTTATCATTCAGTAGATCACAGAAGCTTCGAGTAAAATTATAGATTTAAAATGTCTTTTTGTAGTTGCAATAGTGGGTAAAGTGATAAGAGCTATAAAGACACAGGTTCAAAGCTGTGAGGAGCTTAAAAAAGAGCGTAGAAAAAGAACAAGACGAGTGGTGTACACTAACGACACCGAGAATTTTGGGTGAGGCAGTGACTGACACGGCGACCACAGTATGAGAGCTCAACTGAGAGGATCCAATTAGTAATTAAACATGTTAAAACATTTTCAGATCGCACGCTGAAATATTTGGGGAGCTTTTAAACCGTATCGCACACAGATTTTAACATTTTAAAATTCAACACGGATTTTAAGTATTTTGTTATGTTTATGAATTGATTATTCAATCTGGTTGTAAGCGAGGTAAAATATAACATCATTGCATGAATTACATTATAATTTTTCCAACTTTTTAAGTTGGCAGTCATTTTTCGCTTCTCGTTACTGGCGAATCTACTGTAGAGTTCATGTATCAATAATGTGGTTATCGCCATTAAAATCAAGTTGATCCTACCCAACTGTCTTAAGCTATGTACAGATCAATAATACGAAGGACACCAAAATGAAAATATCTATTTTTATTCTTCTTTCAAAATTAAAGACTCATATAATAATCAGCGGAGTGCGGAGTACATAGTTACCTTCACCTAGAATGCTCAAATCGAAACATGAATTGATATGAATTTAATTTGAAAAATTACAAGTCTGACATCAAATGCTGTTATGAATGCATGACATATAAAATGTATAAATAAAAAAATGAGTAACACTGTAATGAAGGTTTAAAATCTGCAGTTATCAATAAAACATGTTTACTTCTTAAAATAAAACTTTAAGTTTGTGCTTCAATTACAAGCATATAGCAGGTGTAAGTAGCACTAATAATAAAACACTGTTCTAGTGTTTGCTAGTCTTCTGTTTCAGACTGTAACTCTGAAATAGTAAACATGTGGAATATTGTTTTCTTTTGTAAACTCTCTACATCTTGATGATACTGATATTTAAGCCATACACAAAATCCTAATTTTCAAGACTGTTTATGATGTTTTATCTTAACATCTATTTAACGCATATAGATAGATATTTCAAGGATAAATCATTGAGCGTTAATTTTAATTGGGTTTAAACTAGCTTTCAATAAATGCAAGAACTCTTAGATCTGTACTGTTTAATTTCTGTGTTTTCGTAAGTTGTTTTTGTGTTTTGTCTCGATCTGTTGGGTCAAATCCTTCAAATTATTTATACGTTGTCCTCGTGTTGGGCCGTTACATATATGTTGTAACTATCCTTGGTTAGGAGTAGAGTTGGGCAACCTCGAACATGATGTTAGTGTATGTGTCAGTCTAAAGTCTGGAGATTTTAATTTTATTAGTGATTTTCATTACTTGGAGTATATGCAATTTGTTGTTACTCTAGTTTGAACTGATGTCTTGGTTTTTTATAATTTTAATGCGTGATATTGTTTGATCATTGTTTACGTCGAGTGGTCTCTAGATGATAACTGTCCCATAATTTAACACACCTTGTTTATCATTTAGGTTGTTTTTGGTATTCCTTACTTGGTGTTGCGTCAAAATTCCTTGGAATGGTACGTTTGAGTTTGGTATTTAAAGATTAATTGTTTTCATTAAAAATGAAAAATCAATAGTGAGAAAACTGAAATCAGTGATTAAGTCATACATTGTTGTACGTCAGAATCGGTTGATATCTATAAAACGTAATAAAAAACCTGACAAACCAAGAGGTTCGTAATTGTTAAACGTATAGTGTTTACCATTTATGTCATTTCAGATCAAAGATAGGAACAAACTCACAATAACTACCGAAAAAACATCCATACATTCCATTCCTTGGAATGGTACGTTTGAGTATGGTATTTAAAGATTAATTGTTTTCATTAAAAATGAAAAGTCAATAGTGAGAAAACTGAAATCAGTGATTAAGTCATACATTGTTTTACGTCAGAATCGGTTGATATCTATAAAACGTTATAAAAAACCTGACAAACCAAGAGGTTCGTAATTGTTAAACGTATAGTGTTTACCATTTATGTCATTTCAGATCAAAGATAGGAACAAACTCATAGTAACTACCGAAAAAACATCCATACAGATTTCTTCAAAGATTTACTTTCCTCAAATTTATAATCAGCAACATCGAGCAGAATTGTTTAAAAATTTAAAATAAAAAAAAAAATTATGTTACTAACTCCCCAATATAAAAAATAAAAAAATAATGGCAACAGCAGCACACCGCTTTTAAAAAAAATTAAATCGATTAAACGAAAACAAATCTTGAACACAAACCGCAAGCAAGGGAAACACATTAACCATAAGAGGAAAACAATGGAACAACATTAATACTGACTTGCAACGAAAATCAAACGCCATCAAACATGTAAAATGGACTGTTTGATAATAACTGTAATATTCATGACTTAGTACAGGACATTTTAAGAAAAGAAATTGTGGGTTAAACCGGGTTTTATGGAAAACCAGTGACGAAGAGTACGTTAACACATCAGGAATCTTATGACCAAATGGGGCATCTAACTTATGTTCACTTTGTTTGAAGGAGTTGAGACTAAGTTGTAGGAACCGTTTGCTTCCTTCTATTTCTGTGTGTATTGTTTGTTCAGATAATACGTATACCATTACCTGAGTGCCGTATATTAAGTGGTAAGTTCCTAGGAGGACTGAAATAGTAAGAAATGTATTGTTTGAGTATATTTCATTAATTATATGTGTATTTCATTAGTATCAGTAATATTGATTGGCTGACAATAATCGCGAGGCACTTCATATTAAACTGTATTTCCTTATCATTGCTTATAGAATACAACAGCTACGACTGTACGTGCAACATGAACCAATGACAATGTTAAAACAATGCATTAAAAACAAACAGCTTAATATTTGTGTTTGATTCTGTGTTTATAGCATTTAACTGCAGTTATAAACTTGGAATGGTTTTTTTTCTATGTTTTTTTTTTCTAGGGTTGTGAAGTGTTTGACATGCGCACTTTAAGTAAAAAGCGCTTAAAGGAACTTCATACACAATGTGTTTACGTCAACGCTTCCACTTTCACAAATGAGTTTGAGTCTGACAAGGTCATTTTGATATCAAAAAGTCTATTAGGTCTGATCAATACATGTCTCTGTCATTACTTTATTCAGTGCGATAGTAAAATCAGGCAGTTTGGTTTATTTGTGTTTATATTTTATTATTTTGTCAGGTGAGAACCTGTCACTGCTAACTATGTGTTATTGCTTACTCCTGGTCGGTGAAATTCGTAAATGGTCTGGTTTTTTTCGCATAATGTGTATAAAATGTACTAACTTACATGTTTAGTCATAGCAGGGCTTTTACCGTGGACTTGATTTTTGGAATTTGAACATCGTTTAAACATTTCAAAGCCAAGAGGCGTCTTGGCTTAAATCAAATTAATTTGGTCTTTAAGCTTTCTTTAAGAACTGACTCATTGGTAATCATACGACATCTCATTTTCATGTATGGACAATATATATAGTTGAATGTTAAAGGTTACGATTTCATAGTTTAAAAATTATTGTGTACATACCTATCGTTTTGTTCAAGTCCGATGTTATTTGCTATCATTATCTCTTTTGCACCTATCAAATAGTATATGCTTTAAAAAATAAACTTGTCAATCATAGATTCAATATTTTGTTGGCATACATTCATAATGAAGCAAAATGAAGCATAATAAATACTTTTGATTAATTGAAAATGATTTTTTAGAACTTCGCTATTGGCTTAACTTTAAAAAAAGCTATACCATGATCGTGTTTGCCTTAAACTTTCTTTTTGATTTTTTTAAAGACAAAATACTACGATACAGATTATTTATCGATTGTTAACAGATCACTTTCATCATGAAACGAATTAAGATTAGAGCCCTCTTACACTGATTGTAATGTTTTATTATTTATCTTGAAATTTGAATAATTTCCCACATACCAGTCCTTCTTTTGTACATGTACGCCAGGCATGCAATGACACACGATACAACCCCAGCTACTGCAGCTATGCCTCCAACTATCCCTAGTGTAACTGTGTTAGCTTTAAAAATATGATTATACATGAACATGATGAATGTACCAATGTAACTGCATGATTTCATTTTGAACAAATTAATTTAGATTTAATTTCATAGGAACTACAAATGAACTTTTTTTTAAAATGTAAGTACGTATCTACACATTGTCTGATCGCAATATGCATATCATGTCGAGCATACAATTACTCTATCTTACACTTGATTTTAATATAAATCAAGTTAAGCATGTATTTGATAAAAATACAATGATAGTTTGTACAAGTATGTATAAATATTCCATTAAAGATACCAGGTTTATATTTTTGTATGGCTTATGTATGTTTCGTAAAACAAGATTTATCATTGATGCTCGAATTAAATAAATATTATGCCAAATAAAGCGAAAAGTTGGAGAGCATTGAGAATACAAAAACAGGTCTAACCAAATACAACTAAGGTAATCACTTCCATGGGGTAGAATATGATTTCTGTAGACTTTGAAATAATGTTTTTACCAAACGAACTAATAGATTGTAAGTGCTGATTGTTCCTTCAGCAATCTGATCAATGTTAAGTAATGACCACAATTATCAATACATTTAAATATAATTTTATCTGCAACTAAACTACACAAATATATCTTCAAACAAAAATACAAACTATGATCCCGTTTTTCCGCATATTCTTTAATTGGCGCTTGTTGTGTAATTCCAGCCTGGACTACAAAATATCAAATTGAACAATTCAAATGTAGAACGATGCATTTGGTTAATCATGTGTATATGCTTTTAGAAGCTGTAATTCATGAGGTCTTTAATTAGAACAAAAGTATAGTTTGAGAATTGTTTTCAAAAAAGAGATTTCAATATTCGTAATACAGCTTGCAAAAGTTTTTTTTTATTAAATAACTTATTTATAAATTGATAGAGTGTAATTGGTCCAAGGGACTATGGAGTAATGTTAATTGCAGAAAAACGAATATCTGATAGAGTTTATGTACACATTATAGAGTAAAACAAACGATGACCAACCCTTTCACAATAAATATCGATACAAGCGTAATTAGTTTGGGGGAAATTGCTTTATTTATAAGTTGCTATTGTCTTTGCACTAGACTATAGAAACCGCAAGTAAGATTGGTATTTTGGGATTTTTGTCTGTTTTTTTTTAAAGTTTTTATGTGGTTTGTGCCGATCTATAGAGTTAAGCTTTGTCAAACTGATTGTAACAGTTTATTGTTATGTTCTCCTGTTTCGCCAATATCCAGGTTTTATGGGGATTGAGCACTTTGTCGCTACATTCTATATGTGACTGCTCCAAGTTCTGTATAATCAGTGGTTATAGTTGGATGCTTTCTGTCTTACATTATTTTTTGTTGTATTGTGTTATAAATTTGGCGTTTTTTGTTGCTTTTTGTTGTATACCTTCTTTCACATTATATATCATATCGGTGCTTTTATAGCAGACTATAAGGTTTTGATTTGCTCAATCTGCGCATTACTAAAGGCATTAATTGAATCATTAGAACTTAGATCTGCCTTTTCTTGACTTCATTGAACAGTTGTTTCATAACTACAATCTGTTTGTAATTACAATCCCGTTCCCTTTTCAAGAAAGTGACCTACCGATTTAGACTATTCACTGGCTTTGTAATAACATGAGCAACACAACAGGTGCCACATGTGGAGCAGGATCTGCTTACTCTTCCGAATCACATGGGATCACCCCTAATTTTTTATGGGGTTCGTGTTGCTGTACCCCTATTTGTGACATTTTTACCTATTGTGCCTGTTTGTTTTGTTCACACATCGTTGTCAATATAATGGAATTTGATGCGACTGTCATACAAGTGCGAGGGTTAGCTACCTTAAAACCTGGTTTCATCCACCATTTTCTCCATAAGAAAATGCCTGTTCCAAGTCAGGAATATGATAGTTGTTGTCCATTCGTTTGATGTGTTTTAGCTTTTGATTTTGCCATTTAATTAGGGACTTTCCTTTTTGAATTTTCCTCGGAGTTCAGTATTTTTGTGGTTTTACTTTTCATTAACACATCTTATTATTTGATATTACCTGTTAACTGTACTGGAAGGCTACTACCAGTGCCCATGGAATTGACAGCAAAACATGTGTATTCCCCAGTCATCGTTTCCCTTGCTGATAGAATTATTAACGATGGATTTTCAACGGTGACTCCTAGATATGCAATGGAAGCCGATGAAATTATTGTTGTAGAGCCATGTATATATCTTTGCCAGTACACCTTTGTTACTACAGGAAACGCATTTGTAATGACATGTTAGAGTTATTGTATAACCAGTGCCAGTAAGGTACGTTATAGATGGTACAAACACCTTTGGAAGACCTGCAAAAATGTTCGATGTGGTAGACAATTAGTTTACAAATGTTATCTAATAACACACAGACAAACAGTTTAGCACGATTGCAATAAGAAATATAATAAAAACGAATATAATTTTTCCACAACGAAGCAGACACATGTCCCAGAGGTAAACATACTCCATTAAAATAAGAATAACGATGTTAACTTAGAAGGAGTATCGGAGTGATAACATGACACATTAAATTACAAACAGCTATATACTCAATATTTTAAAACCTCTGTTGTAAAGGTAAACATGCTAAATGAATAGCATGCATCTTAGTGTATTGTGATATCACTGTAACGTCTTAAACATCATCAAACTGACATTTGTAATTTTTCACCTTTATTTTTTTTTATCTATGTTTTGTGAGAATGAGACGTCAGTCAAGGCTCTTAAAAAAATCATATGGCCATCATTGGTTCAGTACTCGTTCAACTCTATGTTATTTATTTTGTGTTGCTCTTTTCAACATGTTAACTAAGCTTGATGCTTATCAGTATCTATGAAATATCGTCGAATAGATTGCCACTTGGTCTTGTATACTTCTCTGATTTGTAGCATATTTTCCACGGACATTACTAGTTTCTTAGACTTCTTTGTTTTTTAAGAAAAGTAAAAGTAAAAATGTCTTAAAGTGTGGATTACACTACATGTCTTTGTAAAGTTATGTACCTCCAATGACAGTGAGTTTAGTTGATGAACTGTACCCCATTCCGAATTCATTGACAGCAAAACATTTGTAAAGTCCTGAATCCGAATCCGTTGCATGTAACAACGTGATAGATGGATTGTCAACCGTAATTCCTTCTGTACCTAATGTTCCATTACTTATCACCTTGGATATGCCATTATATATTTTTTCCCAGTAAACTTTGGTTGGAGGTGGATTGGCGGTAATCGCACAAACTATCCGCACCTTTTCTCCATACTTGATTTCTGGCAAATTATCTGCGATGGTGGCAGTTGGCAGCTCTGCAATATACAAGAAGATTAACATGTCTTATTTTTATGATACGTTAGCTACTTTCACGTCGGTTGGTGTCCGAAGGAAAATTTTGCTTTTGCTTATATACAATTAGGTAGGGAATCTTTTTATGGAGTACATTACACCTTTTATTCAACATCTTTACAAGGCACCCGATGACAAATACTTGATTTACTTTGTTCCGTGAAAAATCATATAGCTAGCGATGGTGTATCTACAGAAACGCCTTGAGTACCAACTGTCCAATTATTCAGTATGTGTTTATCCCCATTGACTACTTTCTCCCAATAAACATTTTTGGCAGGAGGGTCAGATGATATGTTACAGAATAATGTAATTTCGTCGCCGTACCCTATTGAATAATTTCTATCTTCGACAAACACAGTTGGCACATCTGCATTTAAAATATGGCATGTTAATAATTTATATATGTGAGCATACATGTACAGTACTAAACAAAGATAACACTTTTAAATGGTGTGTGCCCGAAGCGGTTTCATACAAATATGGTACGATGTACAAACATAACAAAAAGATAGTCAACAAAATCTAAAAACTATCAGACAAAAAACAACACTTTCATTAATATGATAGGTTATTGCTTAATGTTTACGAAGATGTATATTTAGTGTTGGTTTAAACAAATAAAATATGAAGGATGTCTTAATCTGTTCAAATCAATATCATTATATGTTTGATAGATCGATCTTTTGTATGTGTATCAAGGAGCAGTAGTTTACCAAAGATAGTATCTTGCAGAAGAAGATGCCAATGAAGGAAACAAACAAAAAGTGAGGGAATAGTAAGACAACAGAGATTAGCGGGACAAGATATTAGCGTGGCCTGATGTTCATGTTTCAACCACCTTTCGAATCAACAGTCAGTCAAATCTGTTGAATGTAAAATAATGTGAGTATGTAATTAATATTGGCTACCTTGCTATTTGGTATAGGTTCTGCTCATTGTTGAAGGCCTCAATGTGACCTATTGTTGTCACATGCTACGATAATAGGTATCTCGTAGAGAGTTGCCTCATTTGCCAATCATATCACATCTTCTTATTTCTATAGTATTTATTGAAATATCATACGGTGAGGGTTTTTATCGTTGTTGACGTAATGCGATAATCTGTAGTTGCGTGTTGTCTGATATTTATTAGATTGTTGCACAGTTCGCAAATTGAAATTTTAATACAGTAAGATGCCCTGCCCAAATAGATGTAATGACTCATAATCAAATATGTGTGTGTGTTGTTTTTTTTATTTACTAAGACTATGTAATAACAGCATTGATGATTAACCCTTTTGCATGTATGCTACTAAAACGGGATTATATACTTAAAAAAAGAAAAAAACAAAAAACAAAAAAGGAAAAAAAGTTAAATGTCAGATTTACAAACCTCCCGTTATTGTAACATATATTGGTATACTATGTCCTGTTCCAATATCATTTCTCACGTAACAGATGTATGTTCCCGATTCAGATGATGTCGCATTGAAAATTGTAAGAGAGGGTGATTCGATTGAACTCCCAGATATTCCCTCGGTTTCTTTAACAATCTGTGTTACTACTCCACTGTTATTGACCTGCCAATATATTTCCCGAACAGGATTCCATTCAGATGTTTGAAATGAACAGTCAGTTGTCAAAGAACTTCCATAATCCACCACATAATGGTTTGAATTGATATTTACAACAGGATATTGGCCTGCAATTGAAAATGTCCTTTATTTGAATGTTCTTATACCATTGGAGATTACCTGTCAACAAACAGTAGTACAGACCATGTGACAGTAAATATAAACAGCATTCAATGAATTTTGTTCGATCGAATCACAATTCTGTTTTGACTTCATAAGGAACGACGAAACATGAACAGTTAATACCAATCAAATGTTTATATCAATACCAATAATATATGAATCGATATAAACATTTTAGGCTTAATTGCAAAAAAAAAAAAAACAACACATAAAGTAAAGACAATTGGGTTGACCTAAAACAGCTAATTGCTTTTCCTTTTGAATAAATTTTTATAATAATTCAAAAGAAAATCGAACGAATTTGTGCACAAATGGGTAATAGGTTCAGCAATGCGTTTACACGTCTTTAAACGTTTATAAGTTTAAATTACTGTGAATATAATAAAATGTCCATAATTAGAAAAAGAACTTACGGAATAATAAAGTGATGGTATTACATAATCCGAACTTGAACGAGAAACGCCGCTCGACCTTTTTATTGTGAAAAAGTGCAGTTTTTGATGTGCATCTCTATACTGGGTTTTAATAATCATGCATCGCAGACATACACATAACTGACAAAATAAATTGAAACAAACATACGCATAAGTCAACGACGACTAAAATGTGGGTGTAGTTGATAGAACCTACAGTATCTAGTACATACAATTAAGATGAAGTAAAAATTAAAAAAAAACAACACTGAAAAAACCTCATGCGTCGTATCCTACATATAGATGCACACCAGGAACAGCTATCGCCAAACGTTCGATAGCTGCTTCATGCATATTAAATACCAAGTCCCGACGAACGTCAACAGACCAAAAGGAATGCAATAAAAAAATATTTAAATAACAGGTCTTGGTACTTCCCGATAAACTTTTTAGAGAACATTTGCTGCTCACATTCCAATGACGGTTCCCTGCGGTCTTTGATATCGTTTTAAAAGAGGAATTTGTTCTCATTACGTAGATAAAGTTGCTATATTGCTGCTAATGCCCCAGTCACAAAATACCACGATCGGTCTACGCTCACGGCGGTCTAAAATTAATTTAGACCTTGGGGAGGTCGCGGTTTGAGCGGCATGAAAATGTTGGTTTTCGTTGTTTTCACGATGCTACTACGTCCTTATTACGCTTCTACGACGATCCCGCTACTATAATAACACGTTCTCACCACGCTTATTCTACGACCTCACTGCGATTATCACGATCTTACTACGCTCATCACGTTCTCAGTACGACCATACCACGATTTATCCGATTGCAACACGATTCCTCTGCGATTATAGCACGCTCTTACTACGACCATTCTACGATCTTACCACGTTCATATCGCGATCTAACTACGCTCTCAGCAATAACGTCAACATTATGTTCCATATAAATACTGTTCCTTTCCTTCTAAAAGAGGGACGAAAGATACCAGAGGGACAGTCAAACTCATAGATCGAAAACAAACTGACAACGCCATGGCCAAAAATAAAAAGACAAACAGACAAATAATAGTACAGATGACACAACATAGAAAACTAAAGAATAAGCAACACGAACCCATCCAAAAACTGGGGGTGATCTCAGGTGCTCCGGAAGGGTAAGCAGATCCTGCTCCACATGTGGCACCCGTCGTGTTGCTTATGTTTTTACAAATCCGGTTAATAGTCTAATTCGGTAAGTCACATTCGTGAAAAGGGAAGGGTATTGTAGTTACGACATAAGGAACATATCCGATATCATCTGTGAAACGGTTATTCCATAACGGTCAACCAACTCGTGATGGCGTCCGTAAAGTTTACGAAGGGATGATTTCAACTTCACCATTTGGAACTCTTGGCTTAATAGCTTCCTTGTGAGCAGCAATCCTCTATCAAGGAAATCATGATAGGAAACACAAGCCCGGGAATATCGTATTAATTGGGAGATATATACTCCGTATGCAGGCGCTGCTGGAATGTTGCTACATAGAAATGGAAAGTTCACAATTGGGAAGCTGAAATCATCTCTTTTGTCGTAAAGTTTTGTTTTCAACCGACCCTCATTGTCAATTTCTAGATGTAAGTCAAGATATGAGGCAGACTTAACTGTATCTGTAGTATCCTTTATCTCTAGTTCGATGGGATAGATTCGTTCAACATAGTCACCAAATTTTGTGTTATTTAGTGAGAGAACATCATCTATAAAGCAGCACGTAGAGTTAAAGGATATTGCTAACTTCTTATCTTTCTTCCTAAGAAGTTCCTGTATGAAGTCAGACTCATAATAATAAAGAAACAAGTCGGCAAGAAGAGGGGCACAATTGGTTCCCATTGGAATTCCGACAGTCTGTTGAAAAACACGTCCTCCAAACGTAACAAATATGTTGTCAATCAAGAAATCAAGCATCTTGATAATGTCAGTTTCAGAGAATTTTTTGTTTGAATCAGAGTGATTCTTTACAAAATAGGATTTATCCCTCCCCAAGACAAGATACTTGTATCTACGTTCGCCATTCTTTTTAATGAAACAAAGTAATACCAACTCTTTCAATTTGTCTTTTAGTTTAGAATGGGGAATACTTGTGTAAAGTGTAGAAAAGTCAAATGTTTTAATACTATTGCAAGATGAGAGAGTCTTAGATTGTATGTACTCTAAAAGATCTTTGGAATTTTTAGTATCCACATCTGATTCACGCCACCTCTAGAATAGGCAGTTTCACAATAACTTTGGAGCCCGGCTTTGATTGCTGATAAAATAGATGTTAATAATTTAGAAAGAGGTTTCGTGGAGCACTTGGAAGACCTAGCAATATACCGTTCTTTGTAAGGACACTTATGTAGTTTAGGTATCCAATACAGTGATGGAAGATCCAGTTCTTCATCTTTGGTTGAAATTCCAAAGGAACATAGAACAGACCTATGATTATCCAGGATTTCCTCTTTGGTAAGTGTCGTGAGGGTATATGTTGAGTTTCCAAGTGAATTGTCAATACCTAATTCATTTATCAAGCAGTTTATGTAATGATATTTACACACGCAAACGATGTTGTTTGGGGCTTTATCTGCGGGGAGAACAACATATTTGTCATGGAGGTAGGACAAGTGTTTTGCAACATTTGGGTCTTTAAAAATTGATATAGCGTGGGTATTGATATACCAATTTAGTTTCATAATTCGGATTTGTATCAACGACCTCACAGCCTTAGTATCTACGTCTTCTTTCTCGCGTTTAGCCCATTGCCTGGCATAATCCTCGACTGAATCCGTCAGTATTTTGAAGTTGTATTTCCAATTGATGGATTTAGGCTCACGATATTTCGGACCTTTGGATAACAAATTTCGCAGGGAAGTGTTATTGACAATGTTGAGGTCTCCGGTAATAACGTGGCCAGCCGGATTATATGTGAATTGGGAACTAGCACAGGTGCAATCAGGAGGTTTAGACTTGAAGTCGTCAATGTTAAGATCCTGCAAAACGTGTTTGTAATTGAAAATTTTAGCTGCAATTGGTTTGGTATAGGTATAAGAAATTATTGGTACAGACTGATCTTTAAAATAAGGAGGTATTTTTGACTGAAATAATTTATGATGAAGGATATTGCCTAAGTTGACGCCTTCGAGACTTTGTTGGCAAAGGAAAGTTTAAGAAAAGATCTTTTCTCTTTTACATCTTTTCCAATGCGAACTGGTTTGAAAAGTCTGTGACTTGCAATATCCGAAATGATAGCTGTAAGTTTGTATTGGTTTGAATGAGGGTTTGTAACTGTGGTTTCCAAACATAAATTGAACAGAGAATGAAGTTTTGAAAGGGGTAATGAATACAGTTTCGTGCGAATGTGATGAATACCTAACGGCTTTTGTATAAATGGCAGCAAGTCATTAATAGAGACTTCATGCAAAGTAGGTGATGTATAATGACGATGACCATGACTGCGTCTACGTCGAGGAGTAGAGTTGAAAATATTCATCACATTCACCGAGCTACAGGAAGGACTAGATAGAATACCTATACCATCAATTTTGTCATTGCAACCATATGGTGTCGCAGTTCCCAATTGTCGAATCCAGTAGTCCTCTTTTGTCTACGGAGAGGCGTTTCAAGTTGAGGATTGTTAGTCTTGTGGTATATTTTTTCGATTATACGAACTGTCATAGAAACGATGGAATGATCAGGCTGATTAAAATGCTGGTACAGAATGTCGTTTGCATTGAGGTTGATATCTGATCTATGGCCGCACATACGTTTGTTTAGCCTTCCTTTCGTTTCACCGACGTAAACCAATGGAAGTACACCATTAATTCATGGCCCCATTGCTTTCTATGTTAAATTCCTCAATTTCAAGCAGACACAGCTCTTTTGTTTCAAGTTCAAATAAAGTGACAATCATTACATGTCAAAACAACACTTTATGGTGTCTTGTACTGGAAAAAATCAACATACCTTTAATGGCATATAAGAAAGAACTGGTTCCCGGAACTTCGTATGTACCAAAACAGGTACTTCAGATCTGAAATACAGGCAAAAAGTACCCTCTTTATAAAATTTAGTGCAGTTTTTTTAATACTCAAAATTATAAGATCATCGTAACTTCTAGTAAAGTAAGACTGTTTAGTTAAATTGCTAGTGAATTGAGCGTCTGTTATTAAAATTTCACAAGTTTTGCAGCCATTAGTTCCACATTTCGAAATGAGACAGTGTTGTTCAGAGTCATCAAAATCCAAATGTCTTTAAGGAGAACTGAACATGGCTGTGTATGTGTACTATTGCTATTGTCACTAGTATGATGATCTGAATGAGTCATGTTTGGGATATTTGTCATGTCTGGTGATGAGGGGACACCTGCCTTATCAGACGACACCGTGTCTATGGTGACGTCTGTTTCGGACCTTTTTATACTGGGCGACGTCCGAGCCAGTATCCTGTTAGATCTTCGTAAATTCATGCAATTTTGCTACTGGGCGGATGATGTCCTCGGGGACTAATTCTAATTGTCATTAATACGTAGAATTCTCGAAAACGACACAGGCATGCCACCAAAATCTACCAGAACTCGTGGGCGTGGTGGTAGGGGTAGATATAGAGTCAGGGGGGCCTCTGATACGAATTCTGATCCAGTAGATATGTCGGATCAACCAATCAAACCTGAATCACAACGTGTTGCTGGTCCATCAAGATCAAATGACGATATTTTATTGAACAATAGTGGGAATGATACAGATTGGTCAAGCAAGGTTTAGCTGTTGGCAATTATGGACATGAGGTTCAAATTATATACAGACAAACAAAACCTGAAGAGCTTTTATATATTTAATGTGACAATGACAATGATCATGGCTAGAACTCGAAATGGTCGTGGTATGAACGTAGTCAGGTCGTAAGACGAACGTAATGAGGACGGCACAAGCGTGCTAGAATCGTACTATGGACATACACAGCGTAGTATAAACGTGGTATGGTCGTAGTAGAAGCTTTGTTGGGTCGCGGGGATGGTCGTAGTGAGGTCGCAGTAACGTCGCTGTGAGATCGTAGCGCAATCTCTCCGACTAGAATCACGCTTTCGCTACGCTCTCGCTGCGATGGTACAGCGACCTTTGCGATCTTATCACGACCTTACTGCGCTCTTGCTACGCTCCTACTACGACATGATTTCGCCACGACCGCACCACGATTGTCTTGAACATGTTTAAATTTGGCCACGCTCATCCCGATCATGAAAACCTCACCACGACCGTACCACGACCTTACTGCGATCTACACGATCGCACTACGATCGTCAAAATTTGCATTATTTTCAGAGATCGTAGTGCGATCGTTGCCTAGTGTGACGGCGGTATAATGTGAAAAAAAATATTTATAATTTGAGAATTGAAATCGTATTATTTGTTATTGAAATGAGATGGATGAAGCTGAATATGTGGTTTTTTTTTTATTACTTTTTTGATTTTAGCGTAACTGATTAGTCTTTTGAATATTCAAACGTGTTTATAATAACAAAAATATCAGGTCACATAACTTACTTGTTTTGTTAATGTAATGTACACCATGTATCGTGTCTTTATCTGAGTATAAGACAAAAGGTCTTCGCATTCCTCCGGAGAGTTTTACTTGAAGCAGCTGCATACCATTTGAACAGTATATGTCACTGCGATATACAAATATGCCTATGCTTGCTCCGGGTGTTATTGTGCTAGAAACCTTCATCATATAAGTACCATTGGAATCTGAGGATTTTAATACGCCTTCCACATTTTCCATCCAGTAAACTCGACCACTATCATAATCTAATACGAAGAATTTTACATTATACATTACATTTACTCACAACACTGTAAATGTCATCAAATGTACCAGGTTTTCATGTCAAATATTATGAGCGCGTTCTTTCAATGATGACGGACGTAATTACAGCATTGTTGACAGTTATTAAATATCTTTGTCAAAAATGACCACGAAAATATTCCAATTGTCTTACCTCTTTTCTTTGTTTGTTAAAACGCTGCATAACAATAAAATAACCCAATTTTAATTGTCAATGCAACACAACAAGTACCATTAGTTCAACATGATCTGCTTACCCTTCCAAAGTTCTCAAGATCAACCATTTTATACATGTGTTTGTTTATGTTCGTGCTAGGAGGGAGGCTCGTGTTACTAAGTCTATAGTCTTCTGTGCAGTTGTTTGTGAATTTTGTGTATTTTTGTTTTTGTCTTTGTGTTAATCTCCATTCGAAGTTCTTGGAAATACCGAGTGTTTCGTTCGCCTGTTTTTAAGGATTAAATAAGATACAAACTTCAACTCGTTCGGTGATGTCACAATTGTGAAAAGTGACGAAGGGATTCTGGCTACGAAAATTGCAAAAAATCAATGATAAACCTTTTATTCATTGCCTACATTTTTTGCTAAGTGTTGTTTTCATCCTGCTGGAGTGTAACATTGGTGGTTTTTTTTTCACAACAAAAAGTAAGTTATGCCTTTATAAAGACGATTTAGGGAAATTGTAAAGGTCATATGTTTTTGTGGGATTGCGTTGGGTCGCAAATGTATCCTACGACAGCTAACACTAATTTTGACTCCATTTATCATCGGTAATGACATACTATTGTCTATTTCTAAATTTTGATACTATAGAGAGAGTAAGGTTTCGACTCCCTCATGCAAAATTGACCGTAGTGTTTAGTCATGTATCTCGTCAACAGTTTCGATTCTAATACAGCCTTAGCTTTTTAGGTATTCATCTTTGAAAGTTCATGATGATGGTAGATCCAGAAAAGCATGACATTAATAACGTGTTGTTTTTTTCTTTTTTCATATAAAACAAATTAAAATGAATACCTATAGTTATACCAGTTACTTTTTCCGACTTCACGTCCATAAATATGTGTTTTTGAGAACCGTCCATTCTTGATCGACTTATCGTTTTATGGGTTCCTATTGTACTGTAGTACAGCCATCTACATAAAATAACAAATTAACATGAGACCTTACGCTTTTGTTTTGCTTAATTTTGTGAAATCATAACCGAGCTGTTCGAACCAACTTGACGTTGTTTCACGAATTGAACAAATGTGTATATCGAACAGAATTTAGTTGTGCTTTTTTATCGAAACGTGGAAGTATTCGTGTAACGTGATCCCGTAATTGTGAAAAATCATTTAAACGAAGAACAACACAGCTGACATTGCATCAGATGGTGTTTGATTCAGGCAAACAGACCGAAAGACTAGAGAGGATTTTCTAATCATTTAGATTGTCAAATTAGGAGATGGTTTTTTCATCAGGATCAGGGTTCACTATAAGTGTTTGTCAATATGATCATGATGATGACATTTTTCATAATTTAATCCAAAATTCCATTTTAATATAAGGGAAAGCATGATGGACAAGTTCTGAAAAATCAACCTTGTCTTTGTAACCATCGACGTCAAAATAAGATTTGTTAATAAACTAAATACATGTTATTGCAGTTACACAATACAACAAAGTAGCTAGATAACGGCAACAGTAGTATACCGGTGTTCAATAGTCATAATTCGATTAAGCAATAACAAATACGAGTAACAAACTAGTACCGAGGAAAACACATCAGCTATAAGAGAAAAAAAAAAAACCGGAACAACAGAAACACAAAAGCAAACGCCAACATACATAGAAATGGACTTAAATAACAACTTCTATATTTCTGACTTGGTGCAGGACATTTTCAGATAAAATGGTGGGTTGAACCTGGTTGTATGGCTAGTCAAACCTCCCGCCTATATGGCAATGTTAAATATACCGCTAAAATGACATCACTAAGTGACAGGAATATAGTCAAAACAAACGCATAAAGAATCAGCATAGAAAAACACATAAATTAATGATATGATACTACATTACAACATGTAAAACTCAGAATAACAACAGACATCTCCCAGGAAATTACGACAGCACACAAGGACTACCCAAAGGAAATATATACTTCGCGTCACATGAATGGATCAACGTTACAAAAAGTGACGTATTTTTGTGACGTTTATATTATCATTTTAGGTAAATTTTAAAATTATAAAGATTTGTTTTACTTATCATGCTTATAGACACGTAAACGCAGATTCGAACTTTCGACGTATTAATATTATCATCACCAATATATATATATAAAAGAAGTAATATGTGAATTATTTAAAGTCGATGATTAATTGTTTTTTCGTGTTTTTGTTGAAATATACTTTGTCTTATATTTTGTGATAGAACGTAGCTAGGCATATACAAACTTTTCCTGCAAATCTATTGTTAGAGCAAATAGTGTGTCATCTTGTAGTATCAATGTTTTCTTTGACCCGTCTAAATTGCATCTGTACAGATTGCCTTTGGATTGTTCTGTCCAATACACATGGTTGCCTACTGAGTCAATTGCCAATCCTATTGGGTTATCTGCAACTGTCACAGTTTCTAATTCATACAATTCTTCAGATGGATACCGAAACCTGAAATCGAAATATACTTCAGACTTTGCTTATCATACACTGTTTAATTTGAAATATTTTATCAATAATTCCATAAATATTCAAAAGTAAACCGCTAAGGTAGCAGTGACAAGCTGGGCAAATTTAAATAAGACTTTATCCGTGGTTTTTTCAAGTTGGCTTATCAGAAGCGTCTTTGATTTTATAAGATAAAATACAAATATAACTATTGTATAAAACGAAAACTAAAAATAAAGGAATTAAATTTATAAGGAAACATCTAGTATTTGAACATGTTGTTGGAATTATGCTGTTATTGATGTGCATCTTAATTATGCAACGATCAATTCATCAACCTTTTTTTTAACATTTTAAGTATTCATAGTGATAACAGTGAGGTAAATCCTTCCAAAATCTTATTATTGTCATCATAATTTTGTTTACAATTATCGACTATTCATCTCTAAATGAGTGATGTCTAGTGCTAAATGATATTCAAATCCTGCTTAATGTATAGAACACATCATGGTCGAATTCGGCGATGATTCTTTTTCGTAGATTTTACAATCTAGGATTGAGGAGGCGGCAGTGGAAACGACATTTTAAACATTTACTACTTTGTATGAGAGATTAATAAAAAAAAAAAAAGATTGAGAAACACCAACACATAAACATTCTTGGGATGATCTAAGGTGCTTCGGAACGGTAAGTAGATACTGCCTCACATTTGGTTCCCGTCGTGATGATTATGAAAGTACAATTCGGTGATCAGTCCAATTCGGTGGATCATATTCTAAACAAGAGGACGGGACTGTGGTTAGAACATATCCTTTGCATCTGTGAAACAGCTATTCAATGACGTTCAACCAACTGGTAATGGCGTCCATAAAGTTTTCGGACAAATGGATTCCAAATACACCTTCCTACTCGTGCTTAAATACTTTATAAGCAACAACCCTCTGCCAAGGAAATCAGGGTAGAAAATGCAAGTTTTGAAATATCGTATCGACTGGGAGATCTATCCTCTTTATAACAACAGCTTTGATATGTCATGACAAAACATAATATTTTAGAAACAAAAGTTCCACTAAAGAAAGGTTTCACGAACAACGCGACAGTTTTCTTATTCAGAACATGATGAGTTTTTTTTACACAGTAGTTTTATTGCTAAATCAAATAAGTCTACTCGTTATTTTATAGTCATTGGATTGTATACGTAGACTTGTACGTTTTTTGCCTATCATCTAATTGTAAACCAAATTAAAAATATAAGACGCGTGTTTAATCAAAAAAGACTAGAAGCGTTTTTTTTTAATTATCTGTCATACATTTTGTACCCTACATTGAAGTTCATGTTCTACCTCTTGAGATTTTTTCATGATTTCGTTAGGGTTTGAAATTAACAAAACTTACATTTTGTGTCTAAAGTTGGTTTAATTGAACTCAAGCCGGAAGCGCCAGATACTAATCGTTATATTCAGTTATGTACACTTTTAATGTAAAACAATGAAGTGTAATTATTTATTAATCTGTTATTTGAATAAACACGCACTTAAAATAAACAGTAATTCGCTTCTGCAGCTTTTACACTTTAACAAATTCTACACGACGTAAACATACATGCAAGATTTGCCACTGAACGTTAAGCAACCATCAATCAACACACTTTTATTAATTCATTACATTGTATCATAATAATGCAAGATGCTTCAAGAATAATGATTAATATGATAATTAGAAATATCATAGAGCACAAGGCTTACCTTAATATGTCGTTTTTATCAAATCGTGGAAAATAAATATACATATTTTTGTAATCATAATCTATAGAATTGATGTTACTTTGCAGATCGGTCAATAAATATGTTACATCTCCAGTGTCCATGTTGATGGCTTTAATATAATTATCACCAGATAAGAAAAGCGTGTTCTGAAGACCTGAAAGAAATTTACAAAACGAAACTATAGAATTAATTACATAATATATTACTTTAAGGCTATATAGTTAGATAGATACTTTTCCTTCTAAACACAAAGTAAAATTTACAGAGGAAGTACAATACTAATAAATACAAATACAATAGTTTAGGGTAAACAAATGCAGTACGGTAATGTACAATGAAGTACAACTTTTTCATGACATACAGGTATAATAAACGGTTAAAAAAACTATTAAAAAAAATCGGTTTGATCATTTACGTTTACAGGGAACGACTAACCTTTCTAGTCAGTGAACACAGTTTTCTGAAGGCGATTTAACAGTATTGCCGTTTAGCATTGGTGTTGCCTATTATTAATTGGTTACCACAAATTCTGTTGAATAAATGTTTTATTTGTAATCATACCACATTTTTGATTCTTTTTTACGAAAGGAGAAAGGATGGTCCTAAGCAACAATACAAAATCGTAACAGAATTACAAAGCAAAATCATTAAAAAAATTGAATATATGCCAAAATGTAAGTTTAGTTAGAAAGTATAACCAAAGTTAATTATTTCCGTAACAATTTGTTATTGTCTACAATTATTACAATAAACAATATTTGAAATAAGTAAAATCACAAAAAAAAACTCCGAGGAAAGTCCCTTATCAAATGGCAAAATCAAAAGCTGAAACACATCAAACGAATGGACAACAACTGTCATATTCTTGACTTGGTACAGGCATTTTTTATGTAGAAAATGGTTGATTTTAAACCTGGCTTTAAAGCTAGCCAAACCTCTCACTTGTATGACAGTCGCATAAAAAATCAATTATGTTGACAACGATGTGTGAACAAAACATACAGACAAAATAGGTAAACATGTCACAAATGTGGGTACAGCAGTCAACATTGTGTTATAATCTTAATCACTATAAAAACAAACAAATATGTAAACAAACATTTACCATATCACTATAACAATGACGGAACGTATAAGTACAGAGCCACGTCATATGTAAAAAAACGAAACATGAAACTTTGTTCTATTTTAAACGACAAAATCTTCTGACCATTTTCTTTATGAGGACGTTGCAACTTTGATTTACATCTCTTTTGGGGTTTTGTAATTTTTTCAATGTTTATCCATTTTTCTAAAATTTTTGTTTGTTTTGTGAAGTTGTGAATATAATTAGTTTTAAAGCATCTACACTGCTTACCTGGACTTATCAAACATAACAAAGTCATCGCTGTATACAAAAGCAAAACGAGGAATTCCATATTGTGATAACAGGCCACAACGAAATATTAGATGACGCTTTCGAAAAAACAACCACACCTTTCAACTTGAAATTCCGAAATATCAGGTATGATCATAAAAATATATCCGTACTAAAGACTCTATTTATAACTCTTTATTTTCAATTTATAATACACAATCACTATAGCGCTATGCTACACATTCATTGTTAACGAGAATTAAATATCGTTTAAAAAAAAATGTTTGGAAATTTACAAATAAAACAAAGAATAGATCACCCTTTGTTTATTATTGATTGTGTCTTCTCTACGTTTAATGATTTATTCTTTTGCCTTCTTTTAGATTTTAAATTGTTAATAATTAAATGTTTAATGCAACAAGTATAGCCAGTTGATATATCAAATGAATCAAGGGCGATACCACTATTCTTTTCATGAGGGTATTATTCGTTGTCGTAAATATTTTTATAATTAATAATTAGAAGGAGCCTCGGTCATTAAATGTAAACTTGTTTTTATAAAATGAGGTTGAAATATACAAAACATGGCTACATGCATGTCAGTATCGTAAAAAAAAAAATAACAGTGGCACTCGGACTAAACATAAGGAAAGCTTACTCAATAAACGAATATAAAAGCATTGAACACAACACATTCTAGGTAAGCCATTTATGCTAGAGAAATCCTGAAATTCCTGAAACGTTCAACTATTTCTAGGAATTTTAGATTAAACTTCAAGTTGCTGTTAATATTTTTATTTTGAATACAGTAAAAATGGTATATTATATTGTTTACCAGCAATATATACTAGTAATCATCTTCCTACATTAAAGTATATACACCAAATAATTACTATGTCTGCCTATGTGTAGTGACAACTGCAACTTATACCTTGTCCATCGGATTTCTTATGATTAAGAAATACCAGTCGTTAGAATAAAACTGCAAATAAACAGTATAGGTTCCAGCCCCGCTCGGGAAGGAAGTTACGAATCAGATCTACTCTAACATTGTTCGGTTGATTTTTTAGGCACTTTATACATATTTATACATATTCTAACACCTGGTATTTCTTAATCATAAGAAATTATATGGAAAAGGTTTAATTTGCAGTTGTCACTACACATAGGCAGACATATACATATGTTAATTTACAGTAATTGTATGCTTCTAAAAATAGATTATCATCCTGTAATTATACAGAAGAGATGAGTAGATGATAATTTCTGTACACTAAAAAGAATACTTCGTGTATTGTATCAAATATCCTTGTTTATTTCCTACGAGAAGGTAACACCTCCCGAAACGAAAGCTTATTTTTATAAGCTATAGTTAGAGGAGGGGTTAAGGTGTCTGCGCAATGCTAGGCGGTGTTGTCGTAGAAGTTAGAAAAAAAGTACAGGTTCCAGTCCCGCTCGGGGTTGAAGTTACGAATCAGATCTACTCTAACATTGTTTGGTTGATTTTTTAGGCACTTTATACATATTCTAACGCCTGGTATTTCTTAATCATAAGAACTCATATGGACAAGGTTTAATTTGCAGTTGTCACTACACATAGGCAGACATATACATATGTTCATTTGCAGTGATTGTATGAAATATATTTGAGTATACACATTATAAAATGTATCTATAAAAAGTTCAAACGTGACAGTTTATTATGCAAGTAACTTTAACCTTTCACTGACGAAAAGATATTTTTTTATATTCGATTATATCGAATTTGGATGAAATAATGGATTTTGTTTAATTGCAATATCCGTTTATTTGAGGAAATTGATTTAGATTAATTCATAGCAACAATTCCTTTCATATTATTTATACATATTGTGTTTTTAACTTTTATCAACACAAACAATGGGATTGTTAAATAGTTTTGCATCGAACATTCATCACTTAACAATAAGTAACTGTTAAAATTGCTTACTAATGCAGTAAAATTTCCTTTGTTAAAATGTTTAGGATTATTTTTTAGGACCTTCTATATTACAAATATACATGTAATTATCGGAAGATTTGATGTCTTCTAGGTCAAAATGTGTATTGTTCATTGAATTTTTATGGTGCGTTACTATATTGAATAAAGAATTATTCCTCATAGAGAAAAATCAAGACCGATCAACAACGAACTACGCCAAAACAACGGGAATGAACTTCGGTGCTCTGAAAGGGTAAGACATTCCTGTTAAAGAAGGAACTATTCAAGTATTTGAATTTAGAAATAACATAATCGAGAAAAAGAAGCCTGGTTTGTTCTTACGACATATAAGCAATATTTCTGTTCATCAACATGAAACTGCATATGCTGGTCTCGTTTGAATTTGTTGTTTTTGTTTGTCTTATTATTGAAAATAAGGACTGTACATAAAAATACAGGAGGGTCTTACTTGGAGTACATGTTTTCTGTGCTTTATTTCTGAAAAAAATTAGACCTATTCTCTATTCGTAATGGTCTTTGTTTTTTGGTGCATTATTCTGTTTTCTTTATATTTCAACAGCCCATTATTATCAATTTTTGATGGAGTTTCTTTTGCCCTTTTTTTCCCATTATTCCCCTTTTTTCCGGAAATTACATAATCGAGAAAAAGAAGCCTGGTTTGTTGTAACAACATATGAGCCATATGTGTAGTCATGTATGTCAAAGATATTCCATAACAGTCAACCTAACAATGAAGGCGTCAGTAAAACTTTGAAGCGATTCCGTTAACCTTACAACTTGATTCCCTTGATGCAATAGCTGCATTGTAACAAGCTTTATCTTACCTCCTATAGATTTATAGAGATATGATTGGTTAAAGGACTACACGTGGTGACTATGTATATTTGATATAGGGTGTCCTAAAAAATATAGGGTTAGCAACCATACATGGTTAGTTACCATATGGGGTTATAAGGAGTTGCTTTCCTTTCAAAACAAAATGATGACACAACCCTTCATAAAAACAACACGGTGTTGAGGAAAAACCTGGAAGGATTCAACAGACGAAGAAATTGATGATGAAAGGTTGAAATAAGTTCATAAAACATAATTAAAGCTAACAAGTTGTTATTGTTGGCATAACGGGGTTACTTCCCTTTCAAAACAAAAAAATAAGAAAACTGAAAGGATTCAACAGACGAAGTAATTAAAATACATGTAATACATAAATTAATTCATAAAACAAATTTAAAGCTTACACGTTGCTATTGTTGGCATTTGTTTTCTGTATAGACAAATGGAAGTAGGATCTTAATACTAAGTATTGAAGACTTGATCACTTTGATAGGCCGCTAGTCAAAATACCACATGTGAAGATAGTCGGTAAGATAAATTCGTTACACGGTGTGCTAGTGACTTAATACGATATATATGGGGTCAGTAAATTCCATATGGGGATTCGAGCTTCGCTCTCTCCCCATATGGAATTTACTGACCCCATATATATCGTATTAGGTCACTAACACACCATGTAACGAATAATACACCTTGAGAATCATAATAGAAAACACACGCCCTGGAATAATATATCACCTGAATTAACCTTAATAAATGAAAGAAATATGAAAACAAACATTTTATATTCACATTCATTTTTATTAACAAATAAACCATTTGGTCTGCAATCAAGCCGGTCCATTATATGATATGGATTTGAGATTGTTACATGATTTTCTGCGGATCAATATTATTATTTTCTGTATATGCAAAATTAAAGATTTTAGGTAATTGAAATAAATACATTTTTTTTTATTAATTTTAATATAAGAAGATGCCAAATACTTATAACAATGAATGTTCATTGTTTTATTATGCACAGAATGTGTGACCCGTATTTGGGGAATTCCCAAACCAGGTTTTTTTTAGAAATGTAAACATACAACAACTCGTCGTCGGAACATGGGAAATGATTTCATAGTTTGAGTTTTTTTCTCAAAATAGTTATATTATATTCTATTTTGATTATTATATATACAGTTTTCATCATTTAGAAAAATAATCATAATAAAGATATCTTTACTTTCAACGTAAACGATCTCGGGAGTTTTTATAGGTAACATGTTTCAGTAACTGAAAGTGATTTTCAAACCTCTCAAATATCCACTTGGTGTTTGTTAATACTTTGCAATTTTACTGCAACCAAACAGATTGAAATGAAAACAAGTTGTCAAGAATTTGTCAGTTGTTACGAAGAGAATAATTTGCTATACTGTCTGAAGCTTTTTTTAGTTGTAGTATGTAAGCAGTTTTTTTAGTCTGTCGTATACCCAATGAAAGTATGAAGGGATATGGAGTAAATGTACATGGGACAATATTAATATCAATACATGGTAAACCCCAAATATGGAAAGTTTTTATAGTTGTCCTTCATCTTCAAGTCACCATGAGGGATTCAACAATGATCAATATTTCTCATAACTGGTAGTAAGTTCAAGTTGACCCTTAGCATCGGTTCGAGCAGAATTCATGGTTAAATATCATACAAAGCTACATTCCTATTTTTATGACTGTTTGTTGATACTTTTAAATCTCACCAAAACCGATTTCTCAACCTATACTGAGAGGAATAACTTAGTTTGACATTTGTTTGCTTTAAGATTTTTATATCTTTTGTCAAACGAAGTTGGGGAAGGGATATAGTGTTTCATCTGTCCGTCACAAAGTTAAAGTCCATCTTTCTGTGGAAGTATCATTCATAGTTCATGAGATTTTGTTCATAGATGAGTCTTGAATAACCAATGGGTCCTGATAAAAATAAGGTAATCTTGACCTACATTTCACATATGAGTGACTGATTAAATTTTGCGTTAGAGTCCATATCTGAGATACAACTCGTGGAGAAATAATATTTTGTCAGTAGATGCGTCTGTAATAGTCAGAATCGAGAGTCCTAAAAAATATGTCATCTTGACATAAAATTCATGGATGAGTAAATGAGGTGAAAGGCTGCGTTTAAGTCCACGTCTGAGATGAGGAATACAAATATTTTGTCAGTAGATGCAACTTTGATAGTCACGAGTTTCAAAATCAAGTCTTGGCACTCATATCACATCTTCCTATATCTATTGAAAATGAATTAAATGATAACCCATTTAATCAACTGCACTTAG